AAGGGTAACCTATCGTATGCACAAAGTATGCGTGCTGGGGGTCTTATGGCCGACGCGGTGTCGATAGTTTACCGGTAACTTGCGTCCACAAATTCGGCTAGGTCTGAGACGGTGACTGACCAGGCAGCCAATATATAAAGTCAAATATTTGGACACTTTTCTTGTCGTTTTCCTATCGCCTGAAACACAACAGTGGGCTTTTGGTGGATGCAGACAGTCGTCTAGCTAAAGCGAGGACATCAGCTTAGACCATTACGCTCGAAACGGGAGCTATTGGCACTGGCATATGCGCAATAAGAAGCATTAACTCGTGGCTTAATGTCAAGCCTTTGCTGAAATGCTGGCAACGTGAACTGTCTGAATAGAAGAAAAAACTGTGCGAGCTAACCTTTTGAAAAGTACACCAGGGGAATCGATATGGCACAATTTACACAATAACCCAGTAGCAACGCAAAGTTTATTCTGACCGATACAACTGAATCATCATTCAAAGTAGTTTTATTTTTATTTTTTATGTACGTAATGTTTGACTTGTGCGTCCAGAAGCCTGATATGGTGAAAATTCAACCAAGTGGTAGAAGGATTATTCTTGTTAAGAGTTGTCTAGGACTAACAAACCGGAATTGTTTCTCAAAATACATAACACAGTATTTTGTAGTAAATACCAGCGGTTAGGTCGGCTTCACAAGGCAGTACAAAACTTGGTGTCCCAGGTTTTTGGTAATGACTATTTTCCACAAATCAAGGAGTGCGCTCCGAGAAATTGGTAGGTGATGGATTTTTTATGCTAGCTAGTTACTTATTGTCCTCGATTGTCTCTTTCATGAACTTTTGAATCAAATCGAACAATACTCTGTCGAATACTCACCTTTACAACGTCGCGTATAACTGAGGGATGGAAATAGTGCGGCGCTTTGGTCCCTCTTCTGGAAGTTTTTAGGTAGTATAGTAGACAGAATAGTTGGCAGGGAAGATATTTGTTCTTGGAACAAACATGTTCACCGCAATTTACGGCCAAAATTATATTAGACCACGCACTCTTCTTGCATCCAAATTAAAAGACAGAAATCCCGAGCGCTGTGCCACGTGGAAACACGTTTCTCGCACGCGTTGTGCATTGCGCTCGCTAGCGGTGGCGTGTGGAAAGACAATAGGTTCTTGAGGCGGTGATACCGGGTTGCAACAATCAAGAAAGGTCAAAGGGATGGAACTCAGGGTTAGATCTTACTGAGGAGACAGTGCGGTTCGATTGCCGAATTCTAAGCACACATAATCTGGCCTTGATAGTGAGAACCAAGTAACAGTGTTCCATATTCGTACAGTACAGTGCGTATTACAAGACGGATAAAAGTAGTCATCCGGGTGCAGTGAGGATAGACGGACCAGCAGGCATCAAAAGTCTTTACTCGGCCAAGTATCTGACTGACAAGGAAGCGATTGTTGGCGGTGTTGATTTGAGCCGAAATCAATCGTCAAAAATCGGTATATATAATTAACAAAAGCTAGTGGCGCTACTCAGTTTGTGCTAAAGCGTTCATGCACCTGAATTTGATAGTTAATTTTCCAGCCAGCTTTCCATTTTCATCTCCTGCCAAAGTCGTCACACCTTGGCTCCCAGAAACAGCCTTACGTGCTAGTTGAAACGGGTGTAGAAGTGCCAGCTGATTCGTGAAAGCAATCGGCACCTTAATACTAAGCCAAGTGGTCAGCCATATCTAGAGTTTTTGACCTGTTAGTTCACCCAGAGTTAATCTAGGCTACTCAGTCGGCATAGAAACGGGGTGGTCATAATCTGGCCTTGATAGTGAGAACCAAGTAACAGTGTTCCATATTCGTACAGTACAGTGCGTATTACAAGACGGATAAAAGTAGTCATCCGGGTGCAGTGAGGATAGACGGACCAGCAGGCATCAAAAGTCTTTACTCGGCCAAGTATCTGACTGACAAGGAAGCGATTGTTGGCGGTGTTGATTTGAGCCGAAATCAATCGTCAAAAATCGGTATATATAATTAACAAAAGCTAGTGGCGCTACTCAGTTTGTGCTAAAGCGTTCATGCACCTGAATTTGATAGTTAATTTTCCAGCCAGCTTTCCATTTTCATCTCCTGCCAAATTCGTCACACCTTGGCTCCCAGAAACAGCCTTACGTGCTAGTTGAAACGGGTGTAGAAGTGCCAGCTGATTCGTGACAGCAAACGGCACCTTAATACTAAGCCAAGTGGTCAGCCATATCTAGAGTTTTTGACCTGTTAGTTCACCCAGAGTTAATCTGGGCTACTCAGTCTGCATGGAAAGAGGGGGTGGTCCATTGCACGGATCAACACTACTACTGGAATAAGAGTATTTTAAGTCGACCGTTCGACAAAGGAAAATATGCCTAAGCTAATAGACTCGGTGCTCAGAACATCGGCTTAAGTACCTGCAGCTAGTGATTAGTCCGATCATCTTGGCTTGAGCAGGAGCGGGAGCCACAAAGTTCGAGTTAGTACGCTCGCTCAGTCGACAAACAGCCAGCGTAGATTACACTGGTGTCATACACGTCATTTGTACAGTTAACTTGGATAATCTAGTCGGGCATTCTGCACAGCTCATAAAGCGTCCCGGAGTTACTTGTAGTTTTCAAGTGATCAACAGAGGGCGAAACATCAAGATCTATTTATTTTATCAATGGAGTTATATCTGCTGATTTGTCAATCTCTGGTATCCGCTGCTGATCCGCTCCAGTACCTAATGCCGGAGAAAAAAAAGACTCACAGAAGGGAACACAAACGCTATATTCCAAACAAACGAGTACGAGAGCGTGAGTGCAAAAGCAAAAGTTACAACGGCCTCACGCTATTTAAGGGGACTTTCTGACATTGATCCAGGCTATTTGATAGGCGTTAATGAGCACCCATCAAGAACATCTATCGTGCCTCTATGAAAAGCCTGAACGCTGATCACATTCGGTCGTGCTTCTGTGGCGTGCAAGAACACTCATCAGGTTTTGCTGAATTGATTGAATAACTGACTGGCCTGGATGCTTGCCGGCTTTCCTGTTGGGTTTTTGGTAAAGCAGTAGGTTCCGGGCGTTCTGAGGCTGCTTTCAGGAATCTGACCTTCCTGATAAATGGTTTCATCATTATTTTTTTTAATTTTTGATTTTTATTTATTTATGGTTGCAAAGTCAGTTTAAGACGTGGCACACATGAACTGCCCAATCAAACTGGCTGTATTCTCTTCAGATTAGTACAAAGTCAAAATGGAGGCCGGCCTAAAAAACGTCATTTGTCTGCAGGAAAAACCTCATTACTTCGACTTTCATGGGGTATGGTGGTTGATACAGACTTTTGAAGGCGGAGAATGATGAGAAGAAGTGACCACACTAATCGACGTGGTGTTACATCATGGAGCACCGAGAGGGGAAAAATGGTAGCCCGTTTTATTGTTATAAAGAGGAGTATAAAGGACAAATCACTGAAGTGCATGCCAATCCTCCTTTTTACAAAGTTGCAGTCGAGCTGTTAATATAAGAGCACCAAAGCAACCCGAATGATGTACGGTAACCACTTCTCGGAGTGAAAACGTCACTCTGCTTCGGAATTACACGTTTGGAAAATTATTCACATGTCTGTGTTTTGAAGTAGAGTCCAGGTTGCCGTGTAGTACCTTTGATTTACCGTTTAGCGGGTGTAGTTGCCTAGTTGGATCACAGTTGGTAAAGGTATCATCACTTTGTTAACACTGATTTCACTGCCAAACAAGGCTAGGTTGTAGAAGATACTCTAAATGTCTCTGGTAAATTTGGATTTTTCGCGCAATGTTCGTTCGCTAGCCCAGAGAATCAGGATATGTTTTCTTAAAACCTTTGGGACGCTGATGTCTGCTGCCTCCTTCAGTGATATTGGTGAAGAAGCCCAAGAGTTTGAAACATAATAACGGATAAACAAACCACCCATCAGCCGAAAACGATGGGCACCAAATCTGAATTTTGTTTACACCCGAGTAATACGAAAAAAACAAAAAAGCTGGAAAGTCCGAAATTAAGTAGCCAATTAGTTATCTAGAGCTTTTGTTCCACTGGTTTCATAAACTAGTCTATTTTCATAAAAAAATGTTTGAAGTAACAACTTTTTTTGAAAAACTTGGAGGAAATCCTCTACCAGACTCGAAGCTGTCAGTCTGACAATTAAATAATAATTCGGACTAAAGCCTCGGAAGAATTCGTGGTGTTTGTGTGGGCTAGTGTGGCAAATTTTACAAAAGCATATGAGAATCCTGGTATAAAGTTTATGTTCCGGGAATCAACCTTCTGAAATCAGATTATGATTGCAGAAACTAGTGGAAACCTAGAGATGACTGACAAAATAATATCCAATCTAGAATTGTGATCTCGGCCGTCTAGTAATGGCACACAAGCATCTTTCTCCCTTTTGCAAACAGACAGGTGTTCGTTCTTTCTCATCTCCCTGAAAGCGTCTCAGTGCTTTCCAGCGAGTGGAGACTGAATTTCCATTGACAGAGGTAGCTTCCCGTCAATAGGCCTGACAATGGATACTGAAATGAATACCCGGGTTTTACAACGCAATCACTGCATCGGTTGCACTGTAAACGCCCCTGATGCATACAACCATTACCTGTGCGTGGCCGTCCGGGTTGGTGTGTACGGAGCTGTTGCATTGTTTTCACAAGGATATGGTAGGAAAACGCGGACGTACCAACAACACACTTGATTGCGAAACGGATTTCACTTGCAATGTTTGAGCGATTTTCTCGGTACGACGAACAGATTAAATCCCAGCCCAGAAGTTCGCAAACAAGACAAAACAAAAAGCAAGATAGAGAAGCAGCTCTACTTCTCACTGCTCCGCTTCCTCACTCACCGGTCCTCCATCTAACTGGCTGAATGCTTAAACTGCGTCTCAACGGTAGTAGCCTTTGACATTGTACCGAAATAGTTATACCTAGTGGATGCTGAGCTATTCGACCTCTGGTTTAAAAACACCTCTTCACCACTCAGGCAGTTATCATCAACGCGCATGGAAGACGTCTCCTTGATTGGCATCTCATCACGAAGCTAGGCGAGAAGTTCAAAAACCGGGATGCAGTCTTGCCGCTGAGTTGCTATATCAGTGGGAAGGAGGTTATTGGCAAACCTATTTCAGCTGCACGAGATCCAGTTCGCATGTTCGAGCTCCTGTACACGTTGATTACCGGAACTCTTACTCCTTATGAAAGGAAGAAGGCCTCCGATGCGGAGTTGGTTATTAGAAATTGCCAAATGAACAGTTACAGACTATGGGACAGGAGAGGAAAACTCTCATATGCATCTTGTTTACAAAACTGACTGTTCATCTTCTCCTTGAGCGCGTATTCCTGAACTTTCCTGAATATCGATTGACTGGTACTCAAATGCCAGCAAATGCTACAAAGCGACTCCAGAAATTCCGTAATAGAGCTCACTTTCCAAAAGACGTGAAGCGAATTTATGAGAAGACACTACCCGCATGCCTCATCAGTAGTATCCACCATTACAGTGGTAGTATCAGGTCGAATAGATAGGATACAGATACTTAAGCATTATGGAAGTCGATGGATAGTCTGATAACGGCCAAACAATACCTATTGGCTTGTTTTTTTATGCAGAATAGCATGCTGTGTATAAAACGAGCTTCATGAGAGTTCGTCGATCGAACGTGGTCAAGGCATCATCCGACATTTCAAAGAAAAAGAATAATTATGAATAAGTTGATTACCGCGCAAACAAGTGGCAACCGTCTAAGTGACAGGATACAAGTTATCTGATAGAAGTAGAATTTCGCAGCCTTTGGGTTCATCAGGACTTTCCCCGCCGGAAAAGGTGCTAGCCAGCCATTCAACCAGTTTGAACACCGAAAGGAGGTCACCACTTGATGGACTAGGTATGTAGACAAATCCCCGAAATAACAAGATCCTTAAGGAATGCACAGTGACGTGCTCACAAATTACGAGGCAAAACGGAGTTCCTACACACTGACGATAAAACGGATATTGGTGAAGAACGCTCCCAACCAACCTGAAAATAAAAACAACCACAGACTGACTCGCACACTCATTTGCACACGCAAAGGACTCACCTGAAACCCCATCAAAACCAAGTGTGACGCATGCGAGTGTATAAATCAAGTTTTGTGAAGGTTGAGGGAAACTCGGGGACTGCGCCTACCTGATGAGCCTCAAGAAGGGCGAAACCGGTCGTGGGCTGTCGATGGATTTTCAGCAACCTTATGAGTAGTACATTACAAAGATATACATGTATCGCGATATTTCAAATATCGTAGCGACTGAAACATGAGGCGGCCTGGTGCAGCACATTCAGTTGCCTGAGAACATCATAAACGAGAGATTCAGCTGGGTTCCAGGTGAGTCTCTCGAAAGAACCAAATTAGTTTGCAAATGAGTGTATATTCGCTAATTTCGTGTAATTTAGTTTCAAGTAGAACATAAGGTTGACGGAAACCCGAGGACCGTGCCCACCTGATAAGTCCCAAGAAGGGCGAAACTGGGTGGTTTCGGTGACCCTACTTCAAATGCAGCAGACGTTATTGATGTTGCCGTCACTGCTTCTAGAAACGCAGTTGATGCTTAACCGAGTGATGAGAAAAACGGTAATTTTGATGAAGACAATAACGGATGTTAAAGTGACGGTTATTTTGGCAACATACAAGAGGCGTAATAATTCACCCTGCCAATCATTCCTGAGATTTCTGAACACGAGCTACTTTATAGATTCCAGCGACAAATGTTACTGCACCCATCGATATCGATCTCTCCGTGAAAAATATCTGTGTGTAATCGTTTAACAACGGATCTATACCACAGATAATTCTTTTACTGATAGGTGCGTGCAAAATGGACAGATGAAAGCAGAATGGTCAGGATAACCCACTACTTATACCAGATCAGGTTGTCATACGATGGATACTTCACAATAGATAATTTTATGCCAGCGAAAATACGTTCCCCGAAGGGGTGATTGCCTTTTCATCCACAACTTTGTTCACCTGACCATAAATATATTGTAAAACATTTCGTCTAGAGGCCATTTTATTCCTGGATTACATTAACTGTTTGAGCATTACTCTTAGGGAGGTGTACTGCTGCAGTTGGTTGCAGATATAATAACCGGATTTCGAACCTGGATCATTTTTAGTATCCCTTGCATTTTCTGTCCCCGCTGGATAATTAATTCATCACAGTCGTGCATGGAACTGACTGGTTTGGTATCATTCCATCGGCCTTCACTGATCATAGATCCTGACCCATTTAGGTTTCAGCCGTTGGGGTCGTTTAGCTCTGCAGGTCAAATGAACGTGGTCGTAGGTACTTGGGTAAGGTCAGCCATCCGTTCTGAGCAACGTCATTGTTTTGTGACCTGGCTGACAGCTACGCCACACGAAGTTACTGAATTGGTTAGGGCAACTGTGTGGCATACGTGGCTCATTCAATAAACCATTGTTTCCGAGAAATACATTCATTTTGCAAATCAATTTGGTTTTCACGTGTGACTCAACTGGATCTCTCGTTTATGATATTCTACAACAGAATGTGCTGCATACAGGCCACCTCACGATTCAGTTGGCACGATATTCGAGATACCGCAGTATATTTTCATAAGGGAAACTACTCACAAGGTTGCTGAAAACTGCTCAACAGCTCACAATCTGTTTCGCTCTTCTTGGGGCTCATTAGGTAAGCGCAGTCCCCGAGTTTCCGTTAACCTTATGTTTTCCTTGAACCCAAATTGAATTGTTTTCAAAAAATGCACTCATTTGCAACTAGGGGACAGCGCCTACCTGATGAGCCTCAAGAAGGGCGAAACCGGTCGTGGGCTGTTGAAGAGTTTTCAGCAAACTTGTGAGTAGTTTCCTTTATGAAAACCATTGTTTCACTGTGGACCGCGCTCTGTATTTTAATGCTGAAAATGGCATTTTGAGCGCAGATCGCTTGCAATTCAGTATGACGCCAATGTGACCTGGAAACTCGTTTTTACTTGCATGCACTGACATAATATAGCTGCTATTTTCTGAAGACAAAAAGCGAAACAATAAATGTCAAAGTATCTGGTTCAGCTATTGATAACGCAAATGGGGAATAAACTGTTTGTATCCGGCCGTCAGCACAACTATCCAAGGAGGATATTCCTATATGAAGATGAACGATCACTGAAAAAAAGCAAATATATTGTAGAATTTTTACAAGGAAAAATGACAAACGACCGAAGACAAGGACTTGGTGTCTTTCTAACCAGGACTGTAAAGAAAGTTCAACATGTAAGCTTTGATGGATAGGTCACCATCATTCCACGACGGACAGGTCATGCCTTGATGGAGCAACACACACAGATTGCAGGAACACTTGACAAGGGTTGACCAGAGGCAACCGAAACTTTACATTACAAAACCTTATTCCACCGGGCTTTTTGAATTTAAAAAAAATCCACATGATGTTTGGGTTTGGAAGAAGTGGCAATAGAAAACCGAGAGGATCGGTCATCTCGATATTTTGACAAATTGTGCGCCAATTGAATAGTGCACGTTTTGCAATCAAGTGAAGAGGACTCTGAAAAATGACACGTTCTTTTAAGAAGAACTAGTGTTCTGCTACGCTTACAAAAAAATATAAACTGATCAAAGCGCATTCAGAATGTCGGAATCCTTGAGAGAAGTACCCCCGGAACAGAGGAGGTTTGTAGCATCCGTGTGGTCAGTTTTGAAACAGATTGCTTCTGTTGGTTTTTAGCTTTCATACAATGAGGCCTAACTTGTTTTTGTTTCAATTCTTTGGGGTCATTGAGTTCTCCAGGTCAACTTTTCACGTACATTTACGGTCGGGTGAGGTTAACCATCGTCGATGTTTTGTGACCTGACTGATAAAAACGTAAGCCACTATTGTTCAATCATAGACTTCACAACACGCATCCGATTGATGATCAGGTAGTAAGCAAAATTTTATGGCACACTGCGGTCAATAAGCAATGCTAGAGCAAAACATGGTTGACCTAGTTCCAACTACACTTTTAGGAACCGTTATTCTAGAGCACTGATATTCACACTGCATGTTGGAAAGAAATATTGGGCCTTGTTCACGATTTTTCGTGATGCACAGTGCAAATTTCAATCACTACGTATGAATTGTGAGAGAACAGTGCCACTAAAATTTAATTATCGACTAAATACATCTCACACAACCTAACCGAATTTCGGAGAGAGTTTCATTCGGAATTTGTGATTTACAATCGTATTTGTTGACAGTCAGCTATGTCTCTCCAATGTGAAAAAACGCGTCGTTTGTAGATTTTTGAATGACAGACAGAGGACAATATGAAACACGGTTTTAAGACCGTTACTTCCATGAAATTTACCTAAAATTCTCCTCGTTTCGCGCTCGTTCATTTCAAGCATGAGCGTAATTTGAAGACGCGTTTATTCAAATGTTCGAGGCAGTACTCTGCGCGACCGATGGATTGGGTGCAAGACAATGCTGAAGTTATGTATTGTGTACTTCAACATATGGACGAGAATAGCTCTCAGAAAGCGTGTGCGTGCGTTTAGACATTGGAGGAAGTCAAAGTGTTCAATTAGACACCGGGTCACATCTTCGTCGAAACCGCAGTTCCTGAGGGGCAAGATAATAGCGTACGTGTATGAAACGCCAAATTTTTGTCCCATGGTGATATCAGAGAGTTATGTAAATCTGACGAACTAAGAGGTATGTTACCATTTTTCACGCGCATTACCAATTAAACACCACACTACTCAATCGGTTCAATTTAAGGCCTCAGCGGTTCACAACTTTCAGATTCAAAGCATCATGATAGGTCTCTACTAAATTATACAGCCTGAAACTTTAAATAGCATGAAATTGTATAAACGTACACTCAATAAAAACCCCATTCAACAAATGTGCCCATGTGCAATGTTTTTTGTTGTCCACCCTGTTCTACCTTTGCTTTATCGTACACGTTGACTCTCCACACCGTTACACACGATATCATGTCTGCGCAAATATTATCAAATCACGTGGTTTACCACTGAAGAGAAATTAGCGAAAAAATCAATCAGTAACCAGATAGTGAAGAAAAGTATGAAAGACTTCGGTGATATGCTTTCCATTCGAAAAATTTGAGCACTATATCTTTCTGGAGTTAGCTTGCGGACGAAACGAACAAACCAAAGATGTATCTCTTAATCGCCATTTTCTTCAGACAAATGCAAACGGAGGGAGTACCCAGATAGCTACACTAAATATCAATTCGATATCGCAGCTGGGACTCCCCTTGTAGAGGTCACTTTATCACTTGATATGCACTCAGTCATCCTGTTGCTCGGTCGCAAGCATGGCAACACATGTCGGTGAATAGAACGTAAACAAGACAGGACAACACAATGCAAACGAGTGCCACCAGGCTTCTGGATTTGATTTGAAACATCCAACCTGTGTATCGAATCTGCACTCAAAATTCCGAGAAATGGACAAACGAATGATATTTACTATAGACAAATTTGAGACATCGTGTGACGCGAGACGGTTCTCACTTGCGCCAGGTGCAAGGTGACAATTTATTAAAAACTTAGAGTTATAGCACATCTTTCTTTGAGCGGACTAGGTCGAAATTTGCAGTTTGATGGCTGTCAGCCATCAAAACAACCAGTGCTGTCATTTATAGTCCGGATTCGTTTGGACTTGTTCGTTGTGCACAAGATATGTATGCCTTTATGTAGTTTAGTTAATTTGGCAGACGAAACACTGTTGCCCTAAAGAAGCACTCATCCAAAATAATACTGGCTGGCTAGTGCCGAAATCGCGTGACTTTCGCGAGCGTATTCTCCAAGCCCCGTAAACGTGGAATGCTCCTCACGGCACAACTGGATTTCGTCAATTTTTCATCGCACTATGCAGCCCGAAGCTGGAGCGAGTTTAGACTAATGAAAAAACTGCACACAAAAACCCGTCTTGCAGATCATCCATAAGAAATTGTGTTTTATCATGCGTGCCAGCGCACTAATTTTTCCTGATGTCGTTACATATGGGAACTCGTTCGAAATATCTGACCACGCGACTTCACTAAATAGAAAAGTAAATAGCAAGCAGTAGACATATAGTACACCGTTCAGTTCAAGTGCGGCTGGGCGCGAACGAAGTCAAGTACATACAATTTGATATAACCGGTAACCCTACTGAAACATGCTTCTAGATTCCAACACAAACCTACACTTTTGCACTCCAAGCAAGGGTGAGGTCAACCGCTCTGATGATTTTGTACTAATTTTAATAGATAACGCATCGCTTCACTTATTTTCCAGTGAGATTTCAACTTTAATTAATCTGAGGCGTTTGGAGTCCCCAACAGAATTTAGCTCCAAGAGGTTTAATTGGAAAAAGGAATGTGACGCCGGTTCAGTTAATCATTGCACAATCGAACTTCTTCATCTTGTGATTTGAACATTTCAAAATGAGTAGGTTCAATGCATCACGCCATGCATTCATCGGATTACGCGGTATAACACCATGAGTGTAAAGAATAAAATAAAAAAGCATCCATAAAACACCCATCGGTCAAATGGGCAAGTTCACTACGTAGCTCGTACACCAAACCGACCTGGCCGGTTACCCTGAGGAGGTCCGCCAGGATATCCGGTGTGTGTAAAGAATATCTTGTTAAACGAATTAACAGAGAAGTCAAGTACAGACACTACACTCATGTTGGTTACTTGAGAGAGCTTGAAATTACCACAGTTGGTTTGCTCATATTCATACTGTAGTAATTTCGTTCATTCAAAAAAAAGCAGTTTTGAAAATCTCGAATATAAAGAAACAATTATAAGTCTTGATGTCTTTCTGCGAGACGACAGTAAAACTACGCTGAGCCGAGAGTCGTTCGTAACCAATGTGAGTGCATCGCTAACCGGGACTGGGTCATAACACTACACTCTCAATGATCGTTCCCCGTCATTCATTCCTGTTCGCCTCTCAAACTATATTCACGCTCTAATTGCTGCACCCAATATTCCACACGCAAAAATTGACAATTAGCACGATGTCTAGTTGAAGTGAAGTTGGGTCCGTAAGACTACAAAGCAGCACAATTCGGTTCCAGTGGTAACCGCTCCCAAATCAACTTTTCTCCATTATCCTGAACAGTGTCTTTTTTGTAACACGAAGCGTTTATTAAAAAGCTACGTCTCCTAGACTAGATCTGAGTTTCTTTGCCATTTGGGGGGGGGGGGTTGAACACTGACTGAGTACGGTGAGATTTTGAGCAAGGCTATAATGCTTGGAATTCTACGGTGATATCCAATTATATATGCGAATGTTTCAAATGCAAATGCTTGCAGTGTAATTCGTAGATGGATGTTGCCGCATAAGTTCACTTTGATTCTCGTATAATCAACAATTTTCGGTATCTGAATTGGTCTATCTCAACATCCACTACAGATGGTTTTGCTCTAAATTCATCCCAAACCCCGGTACCGTTCTTGATGTTTGCTAAGTCTGTTACGCGACTGACATCTCGGATCCGAAAAATTGAATCCGGAGTGACTCAGTTTTTCAACAGTGTGCCACTACTTGGGGATACGAGAATTAACACAACCCCTTTGCATATGCGTAATTTAGTTTACATGTATAGGCTAACTTACCACTCAAGCGTTTTGTCTTCTGAATCGCAGGTTCGGGCGGTCTGGAAAGTGCGGGCACTGAACAGCACGGTAAGTAAGCATTGAAGAATATGCACCAATTACCACAAATGTCTCAGTTGGTTAGATCTCCTTGACCAGTATATATATATACCATCATCGACTCAATTGGGGCGTTTTATTAATAGCTCTCATGACGAAAGTTTGTTGGCGCAAAGAAATATTCAAAAGCTCCAGACGCGTGACATCATCAAAGTAGTAATCTGTGCACAAATTCCATCGCCCTCATGAGCTGTTGTGGCTCTCAGTGGGATGGTGTCTTTTCCGTTCGTCGTGTCTACCACCGGTATGCTATGCATATCACTGAGAATAGCACGCGAAATCGCTGAATATGCACGCGCTCCGTGTCCACTATGATGAATTAAAACAGAAATTAAAGGTGATATATGGTAGCCACAAAATCACACTTCTCTAATCACATGTTCATGGTATCGAAGCATTTCGGTACTGTGCAATTCTCGAAGCGCATACACTTGAAACGCTGGGGAAAGAGAAGTCCCTTCACAGCAAAAGTGGGCACAAAATTCGTCATTAACTATGACGCAATGACGAATTTTAATCAGATCGCCCAATTTCGGGTAGGTACGTGTAATACAAGCAAATGCTGTATGCCAGTGTGGACCCCTGATCTCAGCTACAATAGTTTTGTGGATATGATACATATGCAATCCGGATCTCATACATATCTCGGAGATGTTCTACTCTACCCATAAGCTACACATATCTTCAGCGTATGCACTGAGTGCGTTTGAGACCACATGAGAAACTGTTCTCTTTTCTCGGCAGCTTCTACTTTAGGGGTTAGGGGTAGGTATCGTTTTTGGAGACCTTTGTTGTATGGTAACCCCACTGACAACGCTTGTTTCAAAAATGGAAGCATACGAACCTATGCGTCGCTTGCTTCTCCAAAGAATACCTAAATGATTACTGGCCTCAGTTGAGAACCTAAGGTTTTAGATGGCAGCATTTGCACGTGAAACAAAACGAAACACGAAGCTCAATCAAAGCTGAGGATGAAGATATCAGCAACGCTTGACATTTCGGCAATTGGCGGACTGAGATTCTATAGCAGCACGTTTTTCCTAGGATTCCAAAGTCGTTTTCCACAGCTCAAGTTCGGTGTCGCCTTTCGTGGGTTTCATTAGAAAGACGCTTTAGTAACGTCTGGGATCACGTTGAGCTACTGTTTGACACAAAACCCATTGCCGAATGCGACCTCATCAATTGCTAAATTTTGTCAGCTGCATATGACGTGCTACATTTGTAAACGTTCAATTCGCACCTCAGGGAATGCCATGTAGCGCCAGCGAGTACAAGCTATGTTTTATGTCTTGAACATCCTCTGTTTTGTGACAGTGGGGTTCTTATTGCCCAAACGATACCCCAGTTTATACTGTAGTTTGTGGGGCTTCCAAAATCCATGGATATAAATGAGTGAACCCCTGTATCCCACAAATAACAGTTTAAACAGTTCACTTTGGTGCAGTGATGATATCTACTCATGTATTATTCACTTTCCTGAAGCTTCACTCTAGTTGATATATTGATATTCACGCAGTAGGATTTGTCCTCTAACTGGTGGCTGAAATAAACTCAATCGCCTTCTGTTCGTAACTACACAGCCTGGTATGCTGCAGCAATCCAGGATGCATTCCCACAGGTGGCTGAAGAAGCTCGAAATAATTGACTTCAGAACAAACGAACTCATTTTGGGTTCAAGTAGAACATAAGGTTGACGGAAACTCGGGAACTGCACCTACCTGATAAGTCCCAAGAAGGACAAAACCGGTCGTGAGCTGTCAAAGAGTTTTTAGCAAACTTTGTTAAACCGGATTCAACAAATACATGATGCATCCGTGTGCCAACCGTCAAAAGTCACACCAAAAATATTGCTCTCTAAAAGTTCTTTATCTACTTTGCCTCAGTTGGAATTTCGTTCATGATTCCTGACTTGGTGGCATCAATGACTGTCCTCAAACGATGCTGGGTAGTGTCCTGTCACTCCTTGGCAATGGCGTTTCCAACCCGAAATCGAGTTCTGTAGGGCTGATTTAGAGTGCTCGCAAATGTCCAACGACTGACCACCAGTTACCCAAAATTCGGTGGCTACATTCCAAAACCTTCTAGTTAGGAGGTTTGAAATCCTGTTCATTCACTGAACAACTGAAGAAGCACTGCATAGTAAACTAATAGGGACACATTCCATGCCGTGGACCTCTGGTGGTAACCCTTCTTGATTGTTCGGCTATCAGACATCATGGGAATCAGTCAAACCTATCCGTAGTGCTTCCAGAAATACAATCTCTTCTGGTCACCACCAATTTATCATTAGAACACACGATCTCCGTCTAAAATTCTGTTTGGTGGCACACGAACTAACTGAAAATCGGATCACATCATATGGTGTGGTATTTCTCCAGTGGCTGTTAGCTCAACTATGGCCGTCATTTCATCACTATAGGGTGTTCTTCTATTGAAAGGTTTTCATGAGTTCTCAATATACTTGTCTCACACCACTGTACTTTCGGACAGCCTGGTTTTCCACTCAAAAAGCTCGAAGCATCTGTCGAGATATTTGGTTTGACTAGAATACCAAGAGTTTCGTTTTGATGAGCTGTGTTTAGCAACGAAAGGCATGGTAACCGGTCATTTGATGCACAGAGTTATGGGCAACTGGTTGAATAGGTTTAGGTGAGTTTAGCGGCATAGTGCTGGTGCTTTTCACTTGACTGATTCCACACCTGACCTTGAGTAAATTGGAGATCAAACGTCGACCGTAGTTTATACAAGCTTCGGACTGCGTAACATGGAGCGCGAATTACGAAGTTCTCATGTACCAGAGTGTAGGACAGCGTTCTCTCAACACAAAATATCATGTACGTGAAAGAGTCTGTATTTGATTTGGAGAAAAAGCTTGATTCAACTAACGCTCAGAAGCATCGTATGTCTCAACATTCCCGAGGGGCTCACACAATAATGGTGTTACAAACCATGTTGCTGTGGCAGCTGCCTCTAACTTTGATTACACTGGTGATGAGAAACACGTTTTAAACGTCGTGGATGGTGAACTTTTCAGTCAACGTTATTTGCCTTTGTTTCAACACACTCTGTTTTAATTTGTCTCGGCGCAGTATTGGAGGCAGTTGATTCTCAATTATATTCAGCAATAAGCCATTTATGCTTGATTAAAAATTAGTCACTTAAAGTCAGATGTGGACTAGACAGATTTGGTCTTATTCTATTGGGGTTCAAGTGTCATACACTTTGGTCGGATCCAAGCTGGGTCAACACGGACGTTGAGTTAGAAGTAGCTAGCATGTATGCCGACCTTTATTGGTTTACAACCCGACTGACAACACTTGACAGATGGATGACCGGAGAATAGTCAAAATTGCATGATCTGATGTGACCTATTGCGGTCAGTAAGTCAAAACGAAACAACACCAAGTAGACTCCCTCTCTCTCTGTTTGCTTTATATCGCATATAGAGAATGCATGGTCGCCGTCGGTAAAGCCGTTGGTATACACACGCTTGATGATTTCATACTGACTGAGCTAAAAAAAGCCTCAGGTTGAAATAGTTGTGCTTCGGAAATCAGAGGGATGGCGAACACAAAACATTTGGTATTCTCAGTGAGATGATCTGCTTTAGAATACAATACTGATTTCAAACATGACGTCCTGGCGCGGCATTAGAAACGAGCGAACTAACTTCTTATAAAGGATGTTGAAACGTGAGACATATATCCGGTCATGTTCCAAGACCTCATCAGTGAGGTATTCCAGAACTGCACCCAACTGCGTTTGGGCACCAGCATAATCGCTCTTGCTCAGTAGACGATGCACACGGTCAACGGGGAATCGGAGGTTCGCCGGGGACGACCTGATCTTTGCCTTGACCCGAGTTTTACCGCCTTTGCCGCGACCACTCACGATTCCCAGAGACGTTGGAGGAGCGAGAAAGCGAACGAAGCCGCATTTTGGGGAGTGGAGCTACCAACGTTACTAGGACTGGAAGATTAAGAGAGAAATACGACAGATTGTTCAGGAACACCTACAAAATTTCCCTTCGAACCTTCGTAATTGGTTGACAGTTGTGGAATCAGTCTGCGAATGTGGGATGGGCGTAAAAATTCAGTGCACGGCGAGAGTTGAGAGCATCCGGTCAGTCCAGGGGAACTGATACACTCGGCGCTACTTGTGTAGTATAGTCTGTCCAACCGATAAGATTCATTGCTTTCAGAAACGTGTGTGTTTCCTAATCGGCATAAAAATGAAATACCAACTAATGTTGAACAAAACGCATTGCGAGTTTCACAACCGCTTAGGTACCAGGTTAATTCGTCCGATTTGTTGAGTTAGCGTAGGTGGCTGATTTCATTTTAGCAGAGAGCTAAACTAATAGTAAACGAAGTAATGGTCTATGGATTACCGCATGATGTGGTGCATACATCAGATTAGCCAGATGAGGTATTTCAAGGAGGTCAGTGAGGTCACTATCCTAATCTATCTATCTATCTATCTATCTATCTATCTATCTATCTATCTATCTATCTATCTATCTATCTATCTATCTATCTATCTATCTATCTATCTATCTATCTATCTATCTATCTATCTATCTATCTATCTATCTATCTATCTATCTATCTATCTATCTATCTATCTATCTATCTATCTATCTATCTATCTATCTATCTATCTATCTATCTATCTATCTATCTATCTATCTATCTATCTATCTATCTATCTATCTATCTATCTATCTATCTATCTATCTATCTATCTATCTATCTATCTATCTATCTATCTATCTATCTATCTATCTATCTATCTATCTATCTATCTATCTATCTATCTATCTATCTATCTATCTATCTATCTATCTATCTATCTATCTATCTATCTATCTATCTATCTATCTATCTATCTATCTATCTATCTATCTATCTATCTATCTATCTATCTATCTATCTATCTATCTATCTATCTATCTATCTATCTATCTATCTATCTATCTATCTATCTATCTATCTATCTATCTATCTATCTATCTATCTATCTATCTATCTATCTATCTATCTATCTATCTATCTATCTATCTATCTATCTATCTATCTATCTATCTATCTATCTATCTATCTATCTATCTATCTATCTATCTATCTATCTATCTATCTATCTATCTATCTATCTATCTATCTATCTATCTATCTATCTATCTATCTATCTATCTATCTATCTATCTATCTATCTATCTATCTATCTATCTATCTATCTATCTATCTATCTATCTATCTATCTATCTATCTATCTATCTATCTATCTATCTATCTATCTATCTATCTATCTATCTATCTATCTATCTATCTATCTATCTATCTATCTATCTATCTATCTATCTATCTATCTATCTATCTATCTATCTATCTATCTATCTATCTATCTATCTATCTATCTATCTATCTATCTATCTATCTATCTATCTATCTATCTATCTATCTATCTATCTATCTATCTATCTATCTATCTATCTATCTATCTATCTATCTATCTATCTATCTATCTATCTATCTATCTATCTATCTATCTATCTATCTATCTATCTATCTATCTATCTATCTATCTATCTATCTATCTATCTATCTATCTATCTATCTATCTATCTATCTATCTATCTATCTATCTATCTATCTATCTATCTATCTATCTATCTATCTATCTATCTATCTATCTATCTATCTATCTATCTATCTATCTATCTATCTATCTATCTATCTATCTATCTATCTATCTATCTATCTATCTATCTATCTATCTATCTATCTATCTATCTATCTATCTATCTATCTATCTATCTATCTATCTATCTATCTATCTATCTATCTATCTATTTATCTATCTATCTATCTATCTATCTATCTATCTATCTATCTATCTATCTATCTATCTATCTATCTATCTATCTATCTATCATCTATCCATCTATCTATTTCTGCTTGAGTTAAACAAGGCTGCTAGACTTAGGCTGATTCGTCGACGGTGTGAACAACATTTCCTGCGGTAGAGAAAATGTGGCACCGTTTCACCTTCACCCCCTTGCACTCAATGACGCAGCAACTTCACCTGCGAAGGCCGTAAAGATCGCACCAACCACATTCGAGTAATAAATGCAGCAAGATATGTTCCATAGCGACCTCACGGTATATATTACATATCTCCTGGGCATAACTGGTTGAAACGGGTAATTATTGGTCAAACGCCAACCAAATATCTCAAAATCTTATATGCCCAATTTCAGGTCTGACTGGTTAAAAAGATGCGGGTGCAAAGCATTGTGGTGACCATCTACTGAATCGCGCAACCACAAACAGGGAACGAGTAGGAAGTTAAATACATATTGAATCCTATTGAATCCCCGATTGTGTAGTCAACAAATGGAAGCATCACGTGAATTGGACTACAAATGAGTTTTGTCGCTTATGTCATCTCACTATTTCTCCCCTAACACTGTTACCTAGGATATCTGATCTGCGCAAAAAAGTATCTGATAGTTCGGTTCCACGTAAAGTTAATGAAGCAGACACAGAACACATCATAAAAAGCATCGAGATCGTGTCAAGTTTTTTTGACATGTATGTAGTCGAGAGATAATTTTCCTAGTTTCTTATCACAGTCAATTCGGTTTTGGTCGTACTGAAGAATTTTTCACTCAGAAACTTTCTGTTTTGACCAGAACATCACGAAAATAAGAGCAACATTGGTTGTTTGAATCGCAACCACGCATCGGTTTCTGTTTACAAGTTTTGAGCTTCAAATGGTAGGCATGAGACAAACCATCAAATTCAACTGATATTGAGTACGAGTGAACAGAGGCCAGCGGAAATCAACTCGAGGCTTTCTTCCCACGTGTATATGGAATTGTACACTGCCTATCGCACAAACCGTTTAGTAAAAATCCACGTTTCAAAGAGCGGATCACGCGTGTTGGCAAAAATTCAAAGGCGTCTCACAAATGGGCGATTTCTCTGCTGGCAACTGTATTCTTTATTTTGGGTGCATTTTCAGTTATCTGCAGAAATGCTCAGATAAACCGAGTTGCTAATCGATATGTTCTTTTCCATCGGTTGATGTTGGCGCAGAAGTACACATGCGATTCAAAGCATTTTTTTAGTTGTTTGATCTCGAAAAGTACAAATTGTTCTATTTCAGTTTCATCCCAGACGTGGATGTAATTGATGATTATTGGAACGATGAAACGCTCCAGAGGTACCTGCGAAATTAGAACACTGAACCCAGATGAAAGTGTTTGTAGATTGTGACCCGAGATGATTCGATATTTCATCAAAGAGTGATATGAATTGGGCTTACATTATTTATCACACTTGTTTGTGCGCTTAGATAATTGTAAATTGTGTGACGCAATATTGTAAAACGCAAGCATTTCGTCTTACGAATTTCAGGTTTTGGCTACCTGAAAAGTTCAGAAACTGAGCATCACGGTAAGCAGTGAAGAATAAACTCACATCCTCTATCCAATTTTACGAAGCTGACCACGAGCGCCGTTTTGATTAGCTAAATTTTATTGACCGTATCATGTGGAGCGAAGTTGTTCATACGAAATCATTCATTGCCGCGAGCTGTAGCAAGTCACATCGATCCCGATATGTACGTTCTTGAATGATAGGACAACGGCCACAGTGTAGCCTCGCGTAACTCATGAGCGACTGTTATGGCTTTCCAGTCGTTTTGGAGTAGTTCTTCGTGCGGTTCACAGGGGTGTTGCAATCACGTTCAATCTTCTGCTCTGTCCGAAAACGCCCGTTGGTCCAACACAGCTAACCACAGTCTAACCACATACTATATAGATGAAAACGACCTATGAACCCACAGCTGAAGAATACTCGAAAATTTGAATGTGCACGTACCCTTACATACTGTACTGGATATCGGTGAAATGATCGATGGAACCTGATAACTCAGTTATTTTCATCTCGAGCGATGCTCACGTCAACCGGTGCATGCCGACAGAATTATGCCGTTAATTTAAGTTTGTCCTCTTACACTTAAAACCAGAAAACCTGGAAACCTTATCACCATCAGCATCAACGGGAATATCAAGCGCATTTTTACCAAATTAGTATAAGTGAAACTCGGCAACATCTATCGAGAAATGATGAACTCTGACAAATTTCCTCAATGCTGGTAGATGAATTAAACAGGAATACATGCTACAAACCCACACGCTTCATGGAATTCGGCTGCAATACTTTTATGGACGTTACGTGGAAGGAATCTTGAAACCGTCACCCAGATACATAGCAGAGAAATTTCCGGCACAGTAGAGCTTCATTTTTCGCGTGAGATGGGTTGTACTTTTATGTTTTTGGTCTGCTATACGATGAAGAATGAAGCGTTTATGTCCAAGACATGTTTGGCCTTCAACTTGTTCCACGAAGATTCTGGAATTTTTACCGAAAATTCACAAGGAAGATGTCCCCATAAGACCAATAGTGGATGGCATAGGTTCACCACCACATGAGCTGGCCAGATATCTAGCAGGTATCCTTAAACCACTTGCCGGCAAGTCACCCACACACATCCAAGATTCGTATGACTTTGCCAAAAAAGTAGCTGGGTTTCAGATAGAGCCAGACGAAGTCCTGGCTAGTTTTGACGTCAAATCGTTTTATACCAACGTCCCTAAAGCGGACGCTGTGGAAGTAGCGAGAAGACTTTTACTGGCAGACGCAACGCTGCAAGAACGAACGCAACTCTCCGTAGACGAGATAGTTGAAGGCATAAAATTATGCCTAAACCTCAGACAATTTGTTTTTGACTCAATTATATACTGTCAAGAACAAGGTATGGCGATGGGATCACCAATATCCCCGATTTTGGCCAACATGTACATGGAAGACTTCGAACAGAAAGCTTTAAACGGATTCGAGTGTCCACCAAGGGTGTTCTGGCGTTACGTAGATGACATGTTCGTTGTAATAAAGCGGGCTAAGGTGAACGAATTCTTTCAACATCTGAACACATTGGACCCTCACATTAAGTTTAGCATGGAGCTAGAGTCCACATCGGGTACACTAGCTTTCCTTGACTGCATGACACACAAGAGTGGTGGGAAATTAAAAACCACTGTATACCGGAAATCAACAGATAGTGGTGCGGTCTTAGACTACTCCTCTGCACATCCAAAAGCAGTATATGCTAGCATAGCCTCAGCGATGTTTAGGAGAGTGAGAGCACTGTGTACAGAGGAGGTCGACCGAAGAGCAGCACAGCTCGAGGTAAAAAAGCGACTTCAAGATGGCGGATACCCAGTGGGTTTAATTAAGCGACAACTAAGACGGGTATTGGTGCCAACACCAAGGCCCAACAAGGAGTGGATCGGAACAGCGGTCATTCCATACAAAACAGGGACATCTGAAGTCATTAGAAGGGTACTGAATACGGCTAACATTAGAGTAGCTTTCCAGAAGGGGAAAACTTTACGCTCGGTGTTGGTGCATTTGAAGGATCGCCTTCCGGTTGATAGGACTAGGAACTGTGTATACAAAATAAAATGTAACGACTGTACGAAGGTTTATATAGGTCAGACAGCCAGGGAATTGCACACCAGAATCGGTGAGCATAAGCGTTCCATTAACAAACCACCGAGAAACGCAGAGGAATACCAAGCGTTAGTCAAAGATTCAGCAATGGCAGGGCATGCTCTAGACACTGGGCATAAGATAGATTTAGAAAATGTGGACATCCTGAGACGGGGTTTAAGATTCACACCACAGCGACTGGTGGCCGAGGCGGTGGAAATCGCCAAGCATCCCAGTGTGAATAGAATAGAGGGGGTAGAACTTGCAAACGTGTGGAGAGCGGTCTTAGATCAGCCGAGATGACACGAGGCGGTGTGCAGTTATCAGCGAAATCGCCTGGGTCTAAAAGTACAAAATCCAAGTAGCGTTAGATCCAATTAACCAGCCCACCCCCATCCCCAAACTAATTGTCCCAGCACCCTTGGACGAACACAGGTGAACGAAATCTGTGAACGACCCCAAGAGGAATTTTCCATTAAGGTGTCCTAGACTGAAGAAGCAGGGACGAAAAAATCCGGGTTCATCATAAAGACGAACCCCCCCCCCCCCTAACCGATCTATCGTAAAGCTTAGTCATCGCACTAATCAACAAACAGGGACATCAGACTGAACACCCAGCACTGATCACGTCACTAGTCATAAGGAATCTCACGGATTGGTTCCCCGACTGCCTTAAAACCCAATCAACCTACTTACTTACTCAATTGGCCTGACGAAGCTTTTGTGTCAAAAGCGAAACGTTGCCTAACAATAAATCCACCGATTGTTTACCGAACCCCTCTGAAACGTATTGGATTTTAGTAAATTCATCAGAAAATACTCATAGTTGCAGAAAGTCATCAACTCCCTTAGCGTGAGGGCAAAATATCCACGTAGCCACCTTGTAAACAAGATAGAAGTGAGTGTTTCATCTAATCCGCTCAAAAAGTAATAACCGCATCCGTAGATGAAGACATTTTTGCTGGAAATAAGCACAAAATAATAAAAATAATAAATAAATAAACTAATAATAAATAAAATACTTCAAATACTAATGAATAAATAAATAAAGATAAATAATTACGAAATGAGCACTTTATCAGAGTGGGCATTTGAGCTGATGATAAACAACTGGTTGGTTATTAGGATAAAATTGGCTTCTTGAGTGATATGCTTAACGGGATACATTGAACCAGTTCTGCGACCGTAATTAATGACACATTGAACCAGTTTTGCGACCGGTAATTAATTTCATCAAATATCGTTTGCATTTTTCGTACCCTGCAATCTGGGCGCCAGTTGAGTGAGCTGCTTCGATGTAGTATTTTCACTGAACGGCGCAATATGTCGGGTAATCAACTGTTTGTGCTTATTAAAACGTCTAAATTAATTCCGAGTTACGTGAAATTTTCAAGACGAGGTCTCCCTGGGGAAGGAAGGCTGACCGATGTATAAGAAACAAACTGAATGCTGATTCACCCTAACAACGCGTTTCACAACCATTCAGCGTGACTCGGCTGTGAGCACTGAGAAGTTTGACTTGCGTATTTCAAAAACTCCGATGTGTGTCCTAGGAGAACTTCAAGGATCTATATGTATTACTTTAGCAAGCCTGCTTGAGTCGGAATTACATACTGAACACAGCTTCATGCGATTTTTCAATTTTAGGTCAGAAACGTTTCGGCCACTTCACCGTGAACTATAAATCCCGAAATCTGAATGAGTACGGAGGAACGTATGAATGGACCACCAAAGCCCCTCTGTCACGTCAGTCAATACACATTGGTTTGCTGTCAAGATTAATTACTGATTGGATTAGCTCTGGTGTCTTGTTTGTGAAACGTTTTCAATGATTTTGGGCTTAAAAGGGGTACTAACGAGTAGTGAATATAATCGTGTCGGTCTACGTTGCTAACTGCTTCACTTTAGCACTAATTAACAGTGTTCTGCTATAGGAGTCTGTTTGCTCGCTTAATGAAAATACTGTATTGTACTATTCTCTATTTACATTCATCTAGTTTCATTCTATACATCACCTCGAAACACATTCAAGTGCTAACATCGGTTAAGATGTATGGACAGGAACAATTTAAGACTAAACGCAAGCAGATATACGCTTGTATCTGAACACGAACGAGAACAAGGCAAGATTTCACCCTTAAACACATCACCGTGTTTCAAAACGGCTAAGAACAAACTTAATTTAAAAAATCACTTCCAACAGCGCCCCAAAACAAAGAGGTCTATTGCAGGCCTGCAATTTTAAGCAATTGAGAGGGAGATCCAGTTAAATCTGCCTTGAAAATTCTCCTTCGTATGAGCGTGAGTACACATTCGTATTCTAACCGATGTAAACAGTTGTTATTTCGCTGGAGTATTTTTTACAGTCATGCGATGTCAAACATCTTAAAGCCTAAATTTTTTAAAGTCGCAATCTGCAAATTCCAGTACTCGAAGTTTACCAGAGACATCGATACAATGCTTGATAGTTCAAGCGCCTATTTTGACGCATTGCCGGTTCCTGGAGTATGATATGAAGTATCAATAAATAAATGTATANAAACATGAGTTGAGGCCGCGTGATGTAATACGAGTTCCCTTTTGTGGACTTGAAACTGCGTTTTACAATCCAAATATTATATCTTCCAAATTCCAGGCGTTGACGATTCGGCAAACGCAGGAACTTCACATCACGGTGAGCATCAAAGAGTAAATTCACACAAGCCACCACGCTTGCAAACCTACTTCGTGTTACTTACTACTCGAAAGCAGTAACGTTTCTAAAACAATCTGAAGAAAATTTGCGAGTGCAGCAAACGGATTTCATTTTTAAGTCAGCTCTAGTATTACTCTTGTGATTCGTACCGACCGAATAATTAGTCATGGAATGAAGCGCTCCGAATACAACATCACGATTAGCTCGGCTACCAGTACACACAAACATTCATTATTCAGTTAGCGTATATATATACGTGGATCAGTATACGTAAATACTTACATACTACTCAAATCCGATTGGTCCAATTTCAGGTATCAGCAGTTCAACAGATACAAGTCCCAGCCATCACGGTGAGTCTTCATTAAGTTACACAGACTGACACGCACACTAGTGGGCATTCGAATAGACATGGCTTCGTTAAACACCCCTCTGGTAATGAATAAATGCATTGTGTGAATCAAAGTCCAACTGAGCTCCGCCGTTCACAATACCTCAGTGAATACGTCATAACGAATATTCGTGTGCTGCATCGTGAACAACCATCTGGTCTTTCGAATGTAAAGACTAGTTCAATACCGGGAATAAACATACAGCAAAATATATGCATCGGAATCATGTCAGGTTGCAAAACAGGAACGCCATGTATGTCTCACGTGAACCGAGTATCTCGTTTTCCAATCGGACATTTTACACTCACGTTATCGTTGGTGAAGCTTGGTACATAAGCGTTAGGCCGACATGAGAGCCACATTATTAAATGCACTCGAAATATTTATTCGCAAGTGTCTGTACAACAAAAGTCTAAGGTTTTTATCCTCCTGTCTCGTGAATTGTACTCAGATTTTCCCAGAGATAGAATAATGATTGTGGAGATCTCATAAAGCCAATATACCTCAGTCTTCATTAAACGACAGAGCGACAGAAAAATAAGCTTTCAATGGCATTTGTTCGGTTAGCGTATATATACGTGGATCAGTATACGTAAATACTTACATACTACTCAAATCCGATTGGTCCAATTTCAGGTATGAGCAGTTCAACAGATACAAGTCCCAGCCATCACGGTGAGTCTTCATCAAGTTACACAGACTGACACGCACACTAGTGGGCATTCGAATAGACATGGCTTCGTTAAACACCCCTCTGGTAATGAATAAATGCATTGTGTGAATCAAAGTCCAACTGAGCTCCGCCGTTCACAATACCTCAGTGAATACGTCATAACGAATATTCGTGTGCTGCATCGTGAACAACCATCTGGTCTTTCGAATGTAAAGACTAGTTCAATACCGGGAATAAACATACAGCAAAATATATGCATCGGAATCATGTCAGGTTGCAAAACAGGAACGCCATGTAATGTCTAACGTGAACCGAGTATCCCGTCTTCCAATCGGACATTTTACACTCACGTTATCGTTGGTGAAGCTTGGTACATAAGCGTTAGGCCGACATGAGAGCCACATTATTAAATCCACTCGAAAGATTTATTCACAAGTGTCTGTAGAACAAAAGTCTAAAGTTTTTATCTTCCTGTCTTGTGAATTGTACTCAGATTTTCCCAGAGATAGAATAATGATTGTGGAGATCTCATAAAGCCAATATACCTCAGTCTTCATTAAACGACAGAGCGACAGAAAAATAAGCTTTCAATGGCATTTGTTCGGTTAGCGTATATATACGTGGATCAGTATACGTAAATACTTACATACTACTCAAATCCGATTGGTCCAATTTCAGGTATGAGCAGTTCAACAGATACAAGTCCCAGCCATCACGGTGAGTCTTCATTAAGTTACACAGACTGACACGCACACTAGTGGGCATTCGAATAGACATGGCTTCGTTAAACACCCCTCTG